TAAAGATTTTAAACATCATAAGCATTTCCATTTCACTAAATAAATAAAAGTAAAATAAAGGATAGAAATGACTCAAAATTAATAGTACAAACACTGTTGCACTTCTCCTTTTAATCCACAATAGTACATGAGTCAGCATAGATATACAGAGGTAATTCCTCACCCCACCCCCCACCCCTTATAGTCTCTAGCACTCACTCACACACATGCGCATACACAACTCTCTAAGTTGCCCACCTTTGCCAACCCCTTTTACATGAACACTAAGGCAACTATTTATAACTTCATAAAATTACTAAACTAGCGCTGTGATGCCTGCTTGATGCCACTGTTGGATCGATGTGCTAGTTCACCACTCATCTCTTTAATTCATCAATTCAACTATTTATCATCAATGTGGGGGGGGGGATTTTTTGTTGTGGTGCTTGATCTGGCACAATGGTGCTCTCTGGGTAGAACCTCAACATAAAGCTCTCTAGTTATTTTTAGAACTATACTATGGAACTGCACTATTGGCACTATGGTGCTGGATTCTATGGCACTGCGATGTAGGTTCAAATTTTATAAATTTTAACATGTTTCTTACACGAAACTGTAAGCCATAAAAATATAATAATCATTATAGATATAATTTGGACTTAACAAGTTTTTAGAATATATTCATTGCACTTCATTTATAACTAATTACAAATAATATACATATTAAAAATATTTTTCCTTCTCCAATCCTCAATTTTAGTTTACTTATAGTTTATATTTTTTGGTCACCTATTTTAACAAAAGAATTTGATATTTACATTTATTTTGCACATAACCCTTTCATGACATTTAAAGTAAATGATTTCATTATATTTAGATCTTCCACAGTGGGAGTTTAAGGAAAATTATTAAGCCAACAGATGGCATAGTTCTAACAATGTGTTTTTGACTTTTGAAGAGAAACCTTTTTTTTTATTTTCTACTAAAAACAAAATAAAAGGCTTCCTCTAAGGTCTGTGGATTGAATAACTCTCCTTTGTTCCTAATATCCATCTTAAGCCCGATGACAAAGTTATTAGTTAGTTTTCATTCATTATTTTTTAGGGAAACCCCACGGAGGGGGACACATGTTAATCAAAAGAAAAAGATTACAATGTCCTTAAAGGAGACATTTAGTTCTTTATTGCTCTCAAGAGCTACAAAAAATGTCCAAAAAATTCCAATGAGCCGATGGTCACCTAAACTAAAAATTACAAAATCACCTAGTAATAATCTAGGGATGCAAGAAGAAAACACTCAAAAAAGAAAGAAAAAAAAAAGAATCAATGAGCACATTCTTTCTGCAAAAAATAGACTTATCCTCCACCAAAAAAACCCCCCCTTTAACTTGCAATAGAAAGAGAAGATAAGATAAAACCAAACATAGCAAACAAAAGAAATAACACAAAGTATAAAAATAAGTGAAATGAAGGTTCCCATAATTTTTAAAAAGGATGTAGAGATACTCCCTTCTGCATTAATAATCAATAACCTAGAAACCCTCAGCCAATAGCTAATACAAATCATGGCCATCCAAAAACAATAAGAAGAAATCTCATTAACAAAGGGAAGCCCAAGAAACCTTACAGGAAAAACTAAACATGTCAAACAACCACAGAAGGCCAAAATAGCATATGGCAACATCATGTAAAGCAGCAAGTAATCTGAAGCATCCACCCTAAAATTATTACAACAAAACAAATCCTGGCAAAACCAACAAAGTAGCGAAAAAACAAGCCCATTGTAAAAGGAGCCAACAAAATAGAAAACAATCCAGCTCCGAGAACAAGAAACATAAACACAACAATCAAGGAATTAGGGGAGGAAGTCCACACAAAAAAATCCTGTCCAAAATAGCTTAGGAAGATAATTCCATAGCAACCATCATGATGAGAACCTTAATGCCACTCAATTCTAAACCCATACTCATTCATGCATAAAAAGATGTAACATACTTGAGTAAAAGGTAGCCATTGCAGATAATAGGCCTTAACAACTAAATTGGTAGTAGAAATACACTTAAAGATCCCATAAAAAAGCTAACATAGATGAGTAGAAAGATAATAACAACCAATATCAACCAGAAAAAAAATCCAACCAAAGGTGCCAACCCAATGCCCAGCCTATAAGCGACCCCCAATAATCTGAAACCCCCCAAAAATGCAATGTGTTGGGCCAACCAAACTAGAACCCCCTAAACTACAATTAACACCGCCAACCCAAAAAATGGCTCCCATGAATATAAGAGAAACAAGTGGGGTTATAAATCAGGGTAATAACAATTCCAATCATTGCTCAGGCCATAAGAAATAAAACACCATATAGGGTAGAATATAATACACTTCTAAAGATAAAATGCAAACACCAAGGAACCAATAAAAAACATAACCATGCTTAGCAAAACAACTAAAACAAATCCAGGGAATGATAGAGCCAAAGGGTGCCTAAATTCTAATATAAGGTAAATCCATTTTATCCAACCTAATCATACATTTCAATATATTAGGTAAATTGGTAATAGTGAAGTCAGCAAGATTATTAAAATTGTAAACAAAATTACTAAACAAATCAGCACACGAGTTACTTTCCCTATAAACATGAGTAATAGTAAAGTTAACCAAAATTAAGAACTGATTAATTTTATGGATAAGGTAGAAAAGATTTAGATTGCAAATGCTATATATTTGCTACATAAGATAATGGATACTGGAAGTGGCATCCACCTCAATCCAAATATTTGTAATACCAAGAGAGATACAAGCTTTAAGACCATTAAAAATAATAGCGAGTTCAACCAACACCATAGAGCACTTCTTCAATGGGGTGGCAAAGGCCAAAACCATGTTACCTTGAACATTCCTAACAATACCACCACACCCATAAGATCTATTCTTCACTTCCCCATCAACATTTAACTTGTAAATATTACGGGGTGGTTTGATCCACTAAACCAATTTAGGTTCCTCTAAAGTACTTCTTTAGTGCAGAGATATACCAAAATTATGAGACACGAAAAAGTAATTCCTAAAATTTTCAGAAGTCAAAAGTTTGATAGTGAAAAGACTACACGCTTTATCTTTAATATTCCTAATAATGTGTTGAGAGTCCATATTACAATTATTGAAAACAAAGTTGTTTCTTGCAAGCCACAAAAACCACAAAATTAATGAAGTAATTACATTTCTAATATGCTATTTAGAGTTAATGAACCAAGAATCAAGCAAATAGTTAATAAAAACATTAGCACTAAACTTATTTTACTTGAAATTATTATCAAAATGAGACCAAATTTTAATTGCAATCGTACCGAAAATAAAGACATGATGTATATTTTTTTATGAAAGCAGCATTAACACATGGAAGTAATAATAAAACCTCTCTTTCTCAAGTTATCATCAATAGGAATATAATTATGCATGATTCTCCAAACAAATATAGAAATAGTCTTAGGAATACTCTTATGTCAAATCATGGAGTAAATTTTATTAACACAAGCTTCTCCTTGAGCTCATACCAAGCATCTTTTAAGGTCAACATACCATTGTATGATAAATCACATAATAATAAGTCCTCAGAATCAGTATTAATAGCCAGATTCAAAATTTTAATAATAATAGTTTCAGGAATGATGTCAACCAGTTTATTATAATCCAACCTGTTATCAGTAATAAAAGCATCTACTTTAGTGGCAATCGTAGAATAAGAATAAATCAAGGACTCAATGGACTGACCATCAAGCCACGAATCTTGCCATAAAAAAGGTTATCTTTACCCAGACCCCATTTGATAAGGGGTTCAGCACTCCGCTTGATATTACACAGCCTTTTCCAAACATTTGAGTCACCATTATTATAATAGCACATAGTAGGATTCTTAGCAGCACAATATTTCTCAATCATGAACTTGACCCATAGAGAAAGTTTGGAACAAAAATTAAATCATAATTTATAATAAAAAGCATAAGATAAATCCCACATATTTTAACAGCCCAAAAGCCTCTTCTTCAAGCAGACCACAACAGTAGTTCCAAGAGGCACAAAAAACTTTAGAATTCACATTAGAACCATGCCAAAAGAATTTATTAATTAATTTCTCAATCATATTACACACACCAAGGGTAGGTTGCAATGTTTGAAAAATATACACAAGTAAAGAGCACAAAACACTTTTAATAAGAGTAAGTCTACCTCCAAAGCTAAGGAAATTAGAATCCCACGAATAAAGCTTATTGTGTGCATTAGAAATAAGATCATTAAAAAGAAAAGTCTTTTTCTTGCTCTTAGAAAGAGGAACCCCTTTTTTCAATTATTATTAGTATAATTAGTCCTAGAAATTAGGTTGTTAAAGATATTTATATATTCAATTAAAGGGATTATACCTTGCCTTAGAGTTAACAACTGCCCATGTACTTTCATATCATGATGTTTAGGGTAATATTTGGTTCATAATATCTCCTTCATTTTAATCCAAGTAAGAGTGATCCTTCCTAGTCACTATTCTTTGGCTAAACAATTAGTTTAATAGATCTTGGCATGTCCAATTAATTCCATTCTAGCAAAAAAAGAACTCTTTTTCTAAGGTTGGATTGTTTTCTTTTAGGTTGTTATTTTCCTTAGATTATGTAAGAATCATCACCTTCTAATGGTGTACTATGATTTTGAGTAAGGCATGGGATATAATTACTATTATTTTTTAAATAATTTAGTATATTTTTTGTTTCATTCTTTAGTCCATTTATCTAAGTTTTAGTATCCTGAAATAATTCTTTGGTCTTAATATCAATTTCATGAATCCTAAGATCGAATGAGTCAACCATCCTAGTCATATTTTCAATCTAATATTGATAAATAGGGGTGTCGATTCGGGTCAATGGGTTAGGTTCGGGTCGAACCCGACTTGACCCGACCATAAACGGGTTGACCCTAACCCGACCTATTTTTAAAAACGGGTCAGGTTTATCAACCTGAACCCGACCTGTGCAGGTTACCGGGTTGCACGACCTGACCCACGAACATCTACGGAACGCTGGAGCTAAGCACGACGGAGGCCCGGTCCGGCCAGAGGCTGCAGATGCAGGAAACCTGGACGGCTGGACGCAGGAATCCTGAACTCCGGAATGCCTAGATGCATGGACGGCTGGACACGGGACTCCTGGACACCGGATGGCTGGATGGGTGGAAGCGGACTCCGGAAGCGGGACGCCGGGACGCTGGGATGCCGGACGCCTAGACGCCTAGACGTGGTAGCGGGAAGAGCCGAGCCACCGACGTGGGACCCCTAGACATAGACGCGACCAGCGACCTGAGATGCGGATTTGAAGACGACGGACGCGACCTAACACCATGACATAGATGCGACATCATGAATGCTACTTGAAGAGCAATACGGACAATAGTATAAGTGTAGATTTTTTTTTTTTTTTAAGTTTAAAGAAGTTCCAAGTGAGGAGAGGGCGGGGGCGTATAAAGACCTCTTACATTCCAAGCTCTCCTAAGGCTATTTAAACATTTTTAACAAAGTGCTTTAAAATTTAAACACATTAAATTTTATACACAAGTATTGTTATACATGGAATTTTGAATGCAAGAAAAAAATAGTGCCTCAATATTTAAGCCTAAGCCATTAGAAAAAATAATGCCTATATATTATTATTAAAAAAAAAGATTTATAAAATTTTAAAGAACGTCTAGTGTTTAAGAAAGAGAACGTCTGGGGTTTTAGAGAGAGAGAATTTGTTTCATATTTCAATTTTGTCGCATTTAAGTGGGTTTTCCATTGGCAGAGGAGGGTCGTCGATCAACGTCAGTCAGAGGTTCCATGGATATTCGTCAGCCATCATTTGGAGGTTCATTATTTCCTGCTCAATCATTTTTCAAATCTTCATCACCTGCTTTCGGTGATGGTTCCATGGGTATCGAATCTAAATCTTCTGTCAATGATGCTCGGAAAATTTCAATAATGGTAAACCTTTTATTATCAATGAAGGAGGATTGTTGGCTGCTAAGAAGGTTATTCCAGGTATCCACAAAGGGAAGAATGTGGTGGCGAATGTTTTTTTTTTTTTTTTTAATTCCAAAATAAAATTATTTTATCATAAAGTTGAACTGTGATTTATTTTCAACTCTAGAGATTCTTATTCATTTGGCCTGACGAATATGGCGAATGACAGAGTTAATTCTAGTCCTTCTGGTGGGGTTGGTGTGCCTGATTCGACTGACTGTAATACATAGGTTATAGCCTGTTTTGATGTATCGGTTTCTAATAATTCAGTGAGAGGTTCTAGTAGTGGTGGTCTTTGTGTTGTGGGTGTTTATTCATCTAATAAGCTTCATGCTGGAAATTTTTGTGCTATTCAGTTGGTAGGAGATATGGTGATGGTTCAGAATTGTGAATATGGAGATTTGGGCTTGTGCAAGAATGGTGTTGATATTTCTAGAGTGGCAAACTTGAAAGAATCGTCAGGTAATGTTTTGCTAATAGCATGGAGCAAGAATTCTAATAGAATAATTTTTTATGTAGATTATGAGGATTGTTTGATAGAGGATGTTGCAGCAGTAAAGTTGCATGTGCAGAATGAATCGGATAATACCAAAAAAGCTTCAAAAAGTATTGGTGGAAAAGGTCTTTAGTGAAAATGTTCCTTTTTATGTGATTAGCTTGGAACTACGAAGGCCATGGAATATGTTTGGAAAATTTAACCTTTGCTTGGTATGGGATTGATATTATGTGCCCTCAATGATGCAGAATCCTTGGATTTGGTTCTTTCTAATGGTCCATGGTATGTTAATGGTCATATCATTATAATTGATAAGTGGTCCCCAACTTTTTCTCCTAATTCTCTTAAGGGGTTATATGCTATGATTTGGATTAGGATGCCTAATCTCCCATTAGAATGCTGGGATGAAATAAATGTTCGTAGGATTGCATCCAAAGTTGATAAGCCTTATTAATCAATGAGAAAATGTTTTAATAGGGAAGGAGAGAGTTTGCAAGAATTTATGTTTGTATCAAGTTGGATGACATGCTTCCCCTAGGAGTTTGGGTTCAAGGGAACTCAGATAGATTCTATAAGAATATTGAATATGAAAGGATCTCTTATTTCTATTTTAATTGTGGTAAAATTGGCCACTATAAAAATAGATTTATAGATACCAAAATGGGTGCTCCTCATGTCGGTCCTAAGCCTTATAAGAACTATGATAATGTTGTAATCCCGACGATTGAAAACTCTTTTAAAGTTATTGGTGGGAATGCGGGTGATGTAACTCAAATGAATGAAGATGGATATGGTCCTTGGATCCATGTCAACCACAAAAAGAGGAAAATTAATAATCCCGGTTCTAGGAGTATTGGGTTCCATGGGGGGAAGGTTGTTGTGCTGAAGTGTCCTACTTTTAAGGATCCAATTCATGTTGATAAGCTAAATTGGGTGTAGAGGTTGTGGAAGGAGGCTCCTCAGAGTTGGTTCATGGAGGATTAATTTCCAAGAATGCTCCAGTTGAAGGTGAAATAATTTAGGTTGTTTATGAGCAAGGTAATGCTCCGGTTTCTGGGATGGGATCGGATTATTTTTTTGGTCCTCTATTCCTTCCGACCCATGGTAACAAGTTTACAATTTAAATGGACTTGGTGAGGAAGGAGAGATAGAACCCTCGAGGGGTGATGGTGAGCCATCTAGTCTTAGCATATTTGTTGGTGTTAGAGATTGTGGAGCTAGCTCACCATATGGTCAAGTTAAAAATTTCAAGGAAGAGTGGGGTTGCAAGGAAGGGGGTTCTTCTACTATGAGGAAGAAACTTGGTAAGGAACTTAGAGGAACGGGTCCTATTAAGTTGGCTCCTATAAGTAGGAAATTGGATGGAGATTTGAAAGATAAAATGTGGAACTCATTCCCTTTTTTTCATTAATGTCATCTATTGCTTTTGGAATTGTATAGGAGATAGGAAGAGGCAAGCTTCTCTATATCTTAAGGAATTTGTTAATGATTAAGATTTTTTTTGGGTTTGTTGAAAACTAAGTTGACTTCTATTAATAGAAGGTAAGTCAATTCTCTAATTGGCGTTGATTAGGATTTTTATCAAGTGTTGTCAGATGGGTTGTCTGGTGGAATTCTTGTACTCTAGAAGACCAAGGTTGCCTCATTTTCAATATTGGAATCTTCTCACAAATTTGTTATAGGTGAGTTAGATGTTTTGAATAAGAGTGTTTAGAGAATTTCTGTAGTGTGTGGAAGCAAGCAGATTGTCAAAAAAAGGGAACTTTGGGGGAAGTTGGAAACTTTTTCTTCCAAGGATTTGCCAATGGTAGTGGGAGAAGACTTTAATTGTTTATTGTTTAAGAAAGACAAATAGGGGGGGGGGGGAGAGAGAGAGAGAGAGAGATTCATCTTTTTCCAAGGCTCCAAAGAGTTGAAGTCCTTTTTGATTAATAATGACTTTCACGAGGTAGGTTGTATTGGCCCCAAATTCACTTTGTGCAACAATAAGGTGGGTGGTCCTCAAATTTTGAAAAGATTATATAGATGTTTCTTGAATTCATTCTTCCAATTATTTAGTGGTTTGAAATCTTGCTAGAGTTGTTTTTAATCATTGTTTGATTATTTTAAATCTTATGAATCAATGTTTTTTATCTAATAGGATTATTAGTTTTGAAGATGTTTGGGCTTCTTATCTAGCATCAGCTACGATGGTGAGGAATGCTTAGAGTAAGAAGGCGGGTGAGAGCTTCAAAGGAGGAATTCTAATTAGAACTTTAAAGTTGAAAAGAACAGTGAAAGCATTATGGTATTGGAGGAAATCCAAGCATAAGAAGTATGTTCAGCTAAAAGAAGATCTAAGGAAGGGTATCCTGGAGTTGTAAATAAAGGAATCCAAAGATGGATGGCTATTTGAGGAGGATAGTTGGGCGCTAAAGGTAAAAGTGAGTGAGCTGAATTCTACATCGTCTTGATTGAACACTTGGTGGAGGCAATGTGCAAAGGTAAAGTGGATGGCTGAGGGTGACACCAATTCCAACTTTTTCCATTAATTTGCTAGTGCTAGGAGGAATTCTAATTAGAACTTTAATATCAAATGTGATAATGGAAAGATTGTTGAGGACCAACCTCAGATTGTTGATGTTTTTTTTTTCTTTTCTTTGACGGGAAATGGAAGGAAAGGGATTGTGTTTTGGATGTTTGGCCTTCCCCGTCGAGCTATCTTGATGAAGATGATAGATGTTTATTGAATAGGGAATTATCTTATGAGGAAATTAAGGGAGTTGTGAATAAAATGGGTGATAACATATCTCCTTAAAATGATGGCATTTCATATTCCTTTATTAAAGATTATTGGGGTATTATTAAAGAAAATTTTGGGAATGCTATAAACAAGTTTTTCTATTCTAGGGAAATGAATTCTAGATGGAAGGAAACTTTAATTGTGCTTATTCCAAAGGCGAGTAATCCTACGGCTCCATATAATTATAGGCCTATCTGCCTTTGTAGGTCTATTTATAAGGTGGACACCAAGATTCTTTTGAATAGATTGAAATCAGTTATTCATAAACTAATATCAATGGAGCAAGTGGCATTTCTAAAGGGCAGGTCACTATCAGATCATGTATTGGTAGCTTAGAAAGTATTCTTTAAGTTCAGGTTTTCAAAATCTTATAAAGGGTTAGTTTCTTTTAAAATTGATATGGAGCAAGTTTATGATTCTAAGAGTTGGGATACCTTGAGGAATGTTTTAGGTTACTTTAGATTTCTTCCTAGGTTCTCCAGTTGGCATATGGAATGTGTTAAAGACCCAAAATTCTTGTTTGTGATTAATGGTAGTTTATCCAAGTTGATTTATGCAAGGAGTGGGTTTCGTCAAAGCTGTCCTCTTTCACCTTTACTTTTTTATTCTTTGGGCATATTTAAATTTTGAAACTATGTACTCATTATTAGGCTTTTGGTTCGGCTCTTGTAATTGGGCATTCTTTAATCTTTTTCGTAACCTTTGATTTTCTCTCTTTTAATTAGATTTTTAGCTTCATTATCTTCATCAATATGATATGCTACATCGCTAAAACCAAGGTTTTTTTTTTTTTTTTTTGCAGTAAAGAATATCTTCACATTTTCTTCTAAAAAAATTTACTAACAGGATGAACTAAAATTTCCTAAAGGAACTCTTTACTCACATGTATTTTAATACCTCTTCTATTTCATATGTCATTTCTAGCTAACATAAGATGTTTTCAATGTTGATTATTTTTCTCAATGTGAATGAAATAACCTTTCCTCCTATGCCCAAAATGCTCTTATTGCCTTTTGGTTTAATGAAGAAATTTAACTTGTTAATGTTTAGTTTGGCATAAAGTCCACTGCATTGATAACTACACCATTGATATCATTATTCATAACTGGAATTTTGTTGAGCCTCCAATGTTGACAACCATAACACTTTTTCATAATAAAAACCCTCCTTAGAATTGCTAAATCCATTTCCATAGCTCACAATCCCAAAGCCTCTCATGCTAGTAAGAGCAATGTCTTCATATTGATGTTGCTCTATAATTATTCTGCAATTTTATTGTCAAAATTCTTGCTAATAGGTTCAATCATAACATGAGTCATAATATGCCTAATATAATTCATTTTATGCAAGTCACTTTTATGTAGCTAAACTAGCTAATGAGAGGTTATTTATTGGGATTGCAAATGGTGGCCTCAATAGAACTCACCTTCTTTATGTAGCTAAAAAGATCTCAATTGTTGTCAACTTCTATCAGTTGGTTGACACACTTAACAAAATTTTGAAGGGGGTGGAAAGTAATCTTTTTTTGTTTTCCTTTATGGGTAAACTATAATTACTTAAATACTTTATTTAGAACCTCAGTGGTTATAGACTAATCAATTTTTTATTCTTAGCCTATCTCAAAGAAAATTCAAAACGCCTACTCCAATTTACTTTACCATGGGAGCAATTCTAAGATGAAATTTCACCTCTTGAAAAATAAGTGAACTCCTAAGGTTAAAGGGGGCTTGGGCATTCCCATAATTTACTATCTCAACTTAGCTTTGTAAATTAGAACTCATATGAATTTTTTCTAAGGGTTCTTCTTTTCCTTTCTTAGTGGAAAAATTTATATGGTAGCATATAATGTTTCCTCTCCCATGTCTTTTAAGCTCTGGAAAGGTTTTCATTGGCATTGGTAATTACTTCTCCATATCTAATGGCCTTTGGATTCATTCCAAGCCTCTTATCCAACTAATCAGGCAATAAACAAATATGTACCTCCTATTCTTTGCTAATGCTTCTCTTAGCGCTATTGTAAATAATCTTAATTAGAACATTCAAATTCATGATAAATTCACCACTATCTATACCACAATTCAGGAAATTCTTGCCCACTTTAATGAGGATTCCATCAATTAGAATTAGAAAAACAACCTCTTTGAGTGATATATAAACCACTCTACAACCATCTTAAGCCTAGTTGCATCAAATATATTCGGCATAAGCACTATGCCTTTTAGTTTTTAAGTTTTATTGACGTTTTATAAATGATAATCTCAAAATTATGGACACATTACTTTAAAATAATTTTACTAATATAACCTCAGGTGCACTCTTTATAATTCGGAGAATAAAGCACAAACCATTTATTTTTTAGTTGTCATTTTTCTCCTGAGTTGAAGAAAGGAAGCCTTCCTTTTGGAGGTGTTAAACTGCTTATTCCAACCTTGTTGACTACATGCTACTAATATTAATGAGGAAAGCATCATTAATGGCGGATTGCTAAAGCATTTTACTATTAGTCTTTGTCTCTCCAATTTACAATATTTGAAAAAAAAAAAGGAATGACTAAATATTTGACACCTATGACAGATTAGTTTTTAATCATATGAAATACCAGCTTAGATGCAAGTAAAATTCAATGAAGCAAAAACAGGCAAGAGCTAGTAGACCTTTGAGATCAAATTTATGTTATTTTTGACGTTTGTTTGCATCGCTTCATAATATTCCGACGCTCAATTATTTTGCCATATGGAGAATTTTATGTGTGCTTTAAATTATTGGTTGATTGTTATCATCATTTTGCATGATAGAAAATTAAATTTATTTTAGAGGATTTGTATGACCCTCTTTACAGCTTATTTATTGCAATTTTGACAGGTTCTCTATTACACATCTGCTGCCATCTATATAACCTCTGACTCTCGCTACACTTCATACTGTAATTTGGCTATATGTTTATTTAACTCGAGCTGTTTGGCTCACAACGTACGTGTGTTTATTTATATTTATACGAACTAGAAATATCGAATTAAATTAACATCGCAATCTCAACAACAATATTATCAAAATAACATTTCTATCTAGATAACATTGCGCCAACCTTTTTTTCTTTTTTCTGTAAACGCGATCAAATCTAAATTTTTGGTTTATTGAAGCTACTACGATAGAACTATGCATTAGAAAGCAATTACTAGTTAGTTATACAAATGAGAAACCATGGTCTGATATAAGAAGGGAATTAAGAATTCAGCTTGCAATGTCAAGTTATACAAATGAGAAACCATGGTCTGACATAAGGGAATTAAGAATTCAGCTTGCAATGTCAGGAAAATCTTGAACTGCACATCAATCACCAAAGCAACACAACCTTCTCCCTTTCTCATTCCCAACCTACATAAACCCTCATTATCTTTATGAAAAAAGCAAGAATAATCAAAGCGTTCATTTCAAAAGAAAATTAATTCAAATAGTAGAAAGCAAAAACTAGAATAGACGATCAGCTATAGTTCACAGGCTTTGTAAGTGGCTGCTTTGATGTTTTCCCAATCTCTTCCAATGGGCACTTCACCTCCTTCAGAAGAGCAACCACTTCACCCATGGTTGGCCTTTCCGACGGCATCGAATTCACACAAAACATGGCAATGCCCATTGTTTGAATCATCTCCTCAACCATCTGATCTGGGAGGCCATGAAGCTTTGAGTCAATGATATTCATCCTGGCCTCAAAGCTGCCCATCATTTTCTTCACCCACTCAACTATATGAAGCCCATCAGCAGCCATGGGCTCAATGGCACTGCGACCGCTGAGGATCTCTAAGAGTACTACACCATAGCTGTAGACATCACTCTTTTCTGTGATGTTTGTGGTGTATCCATACTCTGAAATTATTAAAAGAAATAAAAAAAGATAAAAGGTAATTTCATGATTATCTTCATGCCAAAACCCAACTATTTTCTTCATTAATCCTTACTGTGTGCTACATGAAATTTAAATCAAGTGTGAATATCATTTTTCATAACTTCAGTGTAAATTAACTTTAATTTAGATCTTTTCATAACATTATTATATTAAATTCTATACCAATCATATTACCAATGCTTCGTCTATCTTTTGCCCAAATCACGGAGTTTATTTTACACGATCTCATCTTAAGCATATTATACATTCAGTATCTTTAATATGATAAATTCTAAGCTACATTTATTACTCTTTTGATGGACCAGCTGAGCTGGTCCATTCATTACAGCCGGCCCTGTTTACAGTCAGCCCAAAACAAAGCCGGCTCAATCAAAATAGTGGGCGGTGAGAGGGGGCGGCTGACAACCTGGAAAGGGAACAAAATTAGAGTGGATCACTTATCAAAGGAGAATATAGGGAGCAAATATGTAGTAAATTCAGGTTTTGGGAGGAAAATAAATTCAGATTTTGGGGGGAAAAATAGGGAAGCATATATTATGCCTTTTTATTGTATTTTTTTATCTTTATACAGAGGTTTGCAAGTGTTTTCTTGACCACTTTTTTTTGTAATGGATTCTAGAGGCGTCTAGAGCTTATGAGAGATGGTCCTCCCCTCGAAAGAGAAGTATTTTATCTTGCTTGGTCGTGTTTCTTTTCTTATCAATAAAATCTGTTGAATTTTTCTATTGTTCACTGCTTTTTGATGGTCAAGTCCTAACAAATTAGCATCAGAGCAATTTCTTGTGACTGATAGCTGGAAGAAGAGTTGAGGCGTTGGAAGATTAGTTGTAGGAGAAAATCGGGCATATGCAATCCAATTTGCGAGCAATAGATGATGGTTTTTCAATGATGGATTAGCGTTTATCAGTAATAGAAGGAAAGTTTGGAAATCTCGAGGAGATGATGAAACATATGTTAAAGAAACAAGATAAGGCAGGTTTATCGGAAGCCAGGGGGAATCATGAAAATGACATGCCGAGGCAAACGGAGAGGTGAACATTGGAGCAGAGGAGGAAGAAATACCCCCCATTGAACTTCTACCAAGGAGAGGTATGGATAGGGATATGGAGGTAGAAGGGAATGGGAAAAGGAGAACATGCAGGCTGAATACGACTGAAGGAGATAGGATAGAGAATCATGGACAGTACTAATGCTTGCTTCATGAGAAACATGAGAGGTGGAAGAAGATATGGGGATGGTGGAGATCAGAAGATTATGAAGTTGAAATTGCATGTATTGTAAGGGGAGGATGCGCATGGTTGGATAAATATGGTGGAGAGAAAATTCGTGGTGAACGGGTTAACAGAATGTCAGAGACCTGTGACAACAACTCTATGTCTTGACGGGAAGGCACTAACATTGTAGCAATGGAGGGAGACAAGGCACACGATTCGTTCGTGGGAGGAGTTTAACAACTGTTTATTGGAGTGTTTTCAAGCCAAGCAGGATGGGGATTACTATGAGCAATTTGTTGTATTAATAGAGGTAGACACTATAATGGAGTATCAAGAAAGATTTGAGCTTCTGTCAAGACAAATAGGGAGGTTACCATAGATTGTATTGCATAGAAAATTTAAGAAAGGCCTCAAACAAAAGTTGAGAGTAGCGATGCAGGTGGCAATGCCCGATGACTTGGGAGAGACAATAGAGTTGGCTCAAGTGATTGAGGACAAGAATTCACTATAGAGGAGTAGTAGAGGGGTCAGTTTAGGAGGTTCTTACTGCACGGAGACCACTTTCCTGGCACGTAGGGTGCTACCCTCAGATCTAAAAGGATAAGATTGAGAGTTTGATTTAGGAGATGCTTGAAGCTAAAATCATCAAGTCCAATGTGAGCCCTTTCCCTAGTTTTGCATTGTTGGCGAAGAAGAATGATGGAAGTTGGTGGTTCTGTGTAGATTACCGTTCCTTGAATAAGGAAACTATATCATATAAGTTTCCCATATCAACAATTGATGAGATGTTAGATGAGTTGCATGGATCTGTGATATTCTTCAAGATCGAATTGAAATCCGGGAAGCACAAGATCAAAGTGCGACTAGGAGACAACGACAAGATGGCTTTTAGGATGCACATGGGGAAGTACAAGTTCTTAGTAATGCCTTCTAGCCTCACTAACGCACAACCCACTTTCTAGTCTCTGATGAATAGGTTATTCCAGTACAAAGGTTTGTGCTAGTATTTTCTAACAATATATTGGTATATAACAGGTCTGAGCAGAAGCACTAGGAGCATTTGGGAGTTGTGTTATCTACCTTAAGAGAGCACTATTTATTTTCCAATCAGAAGAAGTTTTCTTTCACCCAAACTTGAGTGGAGTTTTAGGACATGTTCTATCTCAGGAGAGAGTGGCAGCTATCCAAAGTAAGATTGAGACCATACTTAGATGGCCCATACCTAAGACTTTCAAGGAATTGAGAGGATTCTTGGGACACACAAGCTACTATCAAAATTTTTTAAAAGGATATAGTTTAATAACAGGGTCATTAATGAAACAACTCAAGAAGGACAAGTTCAATTGGGTAGAGCTAGCCACCAAGGCTTTTAACGAGTTAAAGAAGGCTATATCCAGTGTGACAGAATTAGCACTCCCAGATTTTAGCTAGTCTTTTGTAGTTTAGACATATGCCTCAGGTTTTAAGTTGGGAGCAATATTCACAAAGAATCAAAGACCAGTGGCCCATTTCAATCAAATGTTTACAGACAGGGCAAGACAAGTCAGTCTATCAGAAAGAACTGATGGAGATTGTGTTAGCCATTCATAAATGATGGTCTTATTTATTGAAAAGAACTTTTATCATCAAAATTGACCAAAGTGAGAGTTCGTTAGGGATGTTAAGCCCTTATGAATTAGTCTCGAGGCTAACCAAGAAGGGGGTGAATTGGTATTTTAAAACTTTTTACGATCAAAGCACAAAACTAAAATCAAAACAATTCACGACAAAGAGTAACGGATGCGGAAATTAAATGCGGAAAAAAAAATAAAGAAAGAGCACACCGGATTTATAGTGGATCGATCAAACATTGACCTACGTCCACTCCTCGGAGGAACCCTCCGAGTATTGCACTAATTAAGTGTCTCTCCTTTAGCTCCCATAGCTAGGCAGAGAAGCCTTTACAACAGACTCCTTTTCACCAACCCCGGTGCTGCAGATAACCGACTCCTTTTGCTTCCTCCTGAAGCGGGCAGAGAACCCGGACCATTTGCTGAAGTAGACCTCCCAAGAACCTCCCAAGGACGAAGGACGAAGAACGGAGAAGACGATTTGAAACCTTGCTTGGAGCAACTTTTATGAACCCTCTCACAAACTCCCCCTCACAAGTTCCTCTCTCTCTCTCTCCCTCTCCTTAGGCTCTCTTAGGTCAAGACAGTAGCACTCAAGGTCTTATGCATGAAAAGGCATGGGTCCTTTATATAGATTTTCAAGAACCTACATTATCGTCTAGGACGAAAGTAAAATGACTTGATCGTTCAGGACGATCTCGCGATCATCTTGACCTATTAGTTCAAAATCTGCCCAAATCGCCCAGCACATCGCTCTGGTCGTCTAGAAGAAATCAAAGTTTTTACACGGATCGTACTGGCTGATCCTGCGATCGTCCAGGACGATATGATCGTATCAATCAACCTTGATTACTTAATCTCCAGATTAATTTAGGCATAGTTGCACTGCATCGTCCAAGACGATGTCCTGGACGATAATTAAAAATGAAAGCTTCCTAAATTGATCTAGCGGCTGATTCTTTCTGATTTGAGCCTACCATCCCGTACGATACAAATATCGACCATGACGATATACTTAATGACGGATGCTTTAATCAGGATGCCCTAATTAGGGTTTCTGTTTTTGACTGATCGTTCGAGACGATTTTTGGATCGTCCTGGACGATGTACTTAAAACAGAGAACTCTAAGTTTAGACATAAAAAATTCACTCATGTGTGTGTGCAAGGTTACTTAGCATCAGGCACCATAAGGATTACATTTGACTCAAGAAAGGAAAAAAATACATTATAGACCGACTCAGACCAAATCTACTTAATCTTGAGCTGGTTCAACTTGCAGTCTCGATCCTATGGTCCTAAAATGTTAATAGATAAGGCAGTCGAAGTAAAACATAAGTGTTTGCAATCATTAAAATTCTATTTCTGAAAAACAGACGCAACAATCTCCCCCTTTTTGATGATGACAAACACACAAGAAAAAATTTAAGGAGTTCAGTCAATTTAATGAAGACAGTGTGAAGGAAAAGAACATAAGTCGACTATCAAAATCAAAGTACAAAGCAACTAGTAGTACAGCAGATCACTCCCCCTTTTGACATCACCAAAAAGAGGGAGAAACGTAAAACAGAAAACAGAAACTACCAACAAAAAAACAGAAACAAACTACAACAAAAGAAAGACTAGTAAAACGGTGGGCCCTGATCATCTAACGGTGGAGGTGGAGGTGGTGGAGGCTGCTGAAAGTAGCTAGTCAGTGTAGCAAACTGAGCACCAAACCAGGCTATATCCTGGGCGTGCTGCTGCTGCTGGTGAGCAACGTAAGCGTCAAAACGGGCTAAGTCCTCTGCACGGTGCTGCTCGTAGCAGGCTATGTCCTCAACATGTTGTTGCTCCTATGCAGCAATGTAAGTGTCAAATCAGGCCTCTCACTGGTCAAAGCGCTCCACCAACTGATCCCAGCTATGAGCGATGGCAGAGCAGAACAGGTGCAGGAACAGGTGCGAGAGCTTCCTCCTCTTCGGCCCCCTAAGGTTCTTCGTCCCCTGGATGGAGACGAGTACTATGAAGGACATTGAAAGACTTGTTGGAATAGAATGAAAGCTTGAAATTTAGAGCTGGGTATTGGAGATTGTATTTGGATTCTAGGACAAGCAATGATATATCCTTGGGCTAGATTTGGCTTTCTCCTATGGCCT